ATTTAGATATATGTATTCACATTGCTTCAGCTAGTTTCTTAAATATCCCAGGGGAATTTTTTACAATTTCAGGGCATAAGGGCATGTCTACACAACAGGGCTAACGCCAAAATAAGCTACGCGACTTCAGCTACATCAATTGCATAGCTTAAGTTGAAATAGTTTATTTCAGCTTTTGGCACTGTCTACGGAGCAGGAAGAGCAAGAAAGAGCACTCTTTTTCCGACTTCCCTTACTCCTTGTAAAATAAAGGTTACAGGAGTTGGAGTAAGAAGTCCTCCAGCTCAACATTATTTTATTTATCTATGTTATTTTAGAATGTCAGTTATTACGAAATAATGCTGTTTATATAGACATATCCTTAGTGATTTTCTTCAAGGATGAGTGACTCCCAGAGGACTGGAGCAGGGTAAACCTAGCATATATTTTGTAAAAGGAGAACAAAGAGGACCTGGGAATTGCATAGCAATCAGATGAATTTCAGTTCCTGGAAAGATATTGGAACAAATTACTAAGATTCTTTTAAGCACCTAGAACAGGGGTGGCAATAATTTTTGGTGGGGGGGCCACTCCAAGATTTTGTAAAGTGCTCAAGACCCGAACTTTTTTGTGGAGGTGGTGTGTGGTCTAGGTTGGAGGTTGGGTGCAGAAGGGCAAACGGGGTAAGTGACATGGGTGCAGGAGATGGTGTGAGGTCTAAAAATTTGGGTGAAGGAGGGGATTGTGATCTGGTGCAGAAGAGGATTCTGGCCTGGAGGAGGAGTGTAGGAGGGGTATAGGTAATAAGGATGATAAATAATAGCCAACATTGATATCTTAAGAGCAAATCATGCCAAACCAACTTAATTTCCTTTAACAGGGTTATTGGCATGGTGATGGGAAAAGCAGTAGATGTGTTGTGTCACATGGAAGACGTGACAAGTGATTGTCCTGCTATATTCGGTATAAGTGAGGCCTCTATAGGAGTACTTTGTCCAATATGGAAGAATTGGAGCGATCCAGAAGAGAGCACTAAAAATGATAAAAAGGGCAGATTTTTAATAAACCATCAAGAAAAATTTATCAAGTAGACCAGTTTAGTCTTGAGGAAAAGAAGATAGAGTAGCCAGATAAATGTTCAAATATATTCAGGACTGTTAGAAAGAGGACTTTAATCAAATGTCATCCACTGAAGAGAGGACAAGAAGTTATCAGTTTAATCTGCAGCAAAGGAGATTTAGGTTAGATATTAGAAATCTTTCCAACTATAAGGATAATTAAGCACTGGATCAGGTTAGCACAGGTCTGTGTAGAATCACCATCATTGGAAAATCTAAAGAATATTCTAGACAAACACATGTCAGGTACACTTGGCCCTACCTCAGCAGAGAAGGGTAGACTAGATGAGTGGTTCTCAGGCTTATTTGATCATGCCCCCTTTCTTTGCGTCTGTGGTAGTTTATACACCACCACAATAGTAATACATATTTCAATACAAAGAACAACATACAACTCTAATTAAATTTTAAAAACAGTAAGGCATTGATTTAAACAGAGCCAATGATCTGTTGTAAAAAGAGTAAAACTTTAGTCCCAGCTTACAATTAAATATGCACACCATGTCATAGCAAATGGATTAATGTGCAGACGGCAATGACTTTGTATAATGCTGCAAGTTTAACAGAAATTCATCAAAATACACAGCATCATCTAAAGTCAATGCACAGTGCCATCCGAGGACCTAATAAGTCTGGAGTAATTATCTTTTCTAGTTATTCATTGCTGGGGGTAAAATATGTACTTAGCTCCCTTTTGTCCTGTTGCTTCTTTGGGAGGCAGCAGGGGTGAGACAGGCAGCTCCATGGGAGGTGGCATGCATAGAGAGCTGGTTTAAAAGCCAGCTCCCTGTGTGTACTGGCTCTCGAGAAGCTCGGATTAACCAATGAGCTCAGGCAAATGAGGCTAAGCGTGGAATATCACCGAACCTCATTTGCATACCTAATGAGCCACCATTATTACTGTCAAGTAATAGGTGTAACGGCATTGCGCAAGAGGGTTTTTCTTGTTCAAGGAGGGGCAGTGTAGACGCTTCTTCTTGCACAAGAGCCTCTTCTGAAAAAAATGGTGGCTCATTAGGTATGCAAATGAGGTTCGGCGATATTCCACGCTTAGCCTCATTTGCCTGAGCTCATTGTGACGGTAAGTGTACATGTCTGAAGGGTTCAGTGCAGGAGTTGTGATCTTATTTTGATACGACAGTGACTAGTGCATATTAACTTCCTTCTCTAGAGGACACTAGGACCACCACGAAAAATCATATTAAAAAAAAATCTCTATCCATTGTTTGGCAGAATATAAGGGCTAGACAGGAAGTTGCATACTTTGTAGGACCGTCAGACAACCAGACATAATTTATAAACCAGGCAGAAAAAAGTTGGAGACCAGATTGAGGGAGAGGATGTTTTTATTAGAGAAGACTATCAATCAGAAACTCAGCATAAAGACAAGTACTGTAGGAATATGTCCGTATTCCAGAAGAAAGAGGTTTTATTTTGGGATTGTGTTTGCTCCTGTGTGTATCATTGTGGGGTCTCTGGAAGGGTCCCTCTTGTTGCAGTCACATTTTAAGTTTAAATCATTTAGGATAATATATCATGTGATAATAGGAGAGGAGAAGTTCCACAGAGCTCTGGGGTCCTTTCATTTTTTTTTCTCTCTTGTATCCTACTGTTTGGTGATATTTGTTCATGGCTTTAATTTACATGTTCATACTCGCTCAAAATCTGCCTTTCTGCTCCCTAGTTTAATTCCCCCCATCCAAATCTGCAGCTCAGCCTTGTTTTCTGACATCTCTTTGTGGAGGTCAACTTAAATTCCACAGGAGCACAGCTAATCTCGTGATTTTTTTTTTCTCTGCCATCCCCAAACTCCTGTCTGAGAGCACCTGGTTGAGAACCACTGATCTAGATTTTTTTTCTCTCCTTCTCCATATTATCTTCTGTTTGCTAGGTGATCTATAATGTTACTTAATTTGTGTGTATGTTTCCTATATTTTCACTTGCAGAGCCATGTTTGAGGTTAACATGAAAGAAAGAGATGATGGGAATGTTACTATAAGTAATTTATCACCTAAGGCAGTGAAGGCTTTTCTCGATTATGCCTACACGGGGAAAACTGAGATAACAAATGCTAATGTGGAAATGTTTTTCCAGTTGTCATCATTTCTTCAAATTTCACACCTTTCCAAAGCTTGCAGTGACTTTCTAATAGAAAGTGTTGATCTTGGGAATTGTCTACAGTTGTTGTCTTTATCAGAAAGTTATGGTTCTGTTCATTTGTTTGATCGTGCACTGGAATTTGCACAGCACCACTTTTCCTTGCTACTGAAATCAAGTGATTTCTTGGAGATGAATTTTGAGATATTACAAAAATGTATTGAAGCAGATGAACTCTGTGTCCCCGAAGAAGAATCTGTGTTGAAAGTTGTCCTACAGTGGACCAAACATAATTTAGAAACAAGACAGAAGCATCTCCGTCACTTGATTAAAAAAGTAAGATTACATCAGTTACCTGAAAAGACAGTGCAGAACTTGTTGCATTCTGAAGAATATTTGCTTAAGAGCACTGACTGCATAGGAATAATCAATGATGCAATTACAAGTGTACAAAACTCCAGTGGGCTGTTTCCAGATGCTCGTCCTTCAACAACAGAAAAATATATATTTGTTCACAAAACTGAAGAAAATGGAGAAAACACACACACATTTTGCTATAATATCAAAACTGATAAATGGAGAGAACTGCCTTACACACACATCATTGATCTTCCAGGATCAAGTTTATCTAGTTATGGAGAGAAAATATTTATAACTGGTGGGTGCAAAGGGAACTGTTGTAGGACTGTTAGACTTCATATTGTTGAATCCTTTCATGATGCCACTGACCAGACTTGGTGCTACTGCCCAGTTAGCAATGATTTCTCCATAGTGCCAGCTATGAAAAAACCAAGGACTATGCATACATCTGTCATGACTCTAAATCAGTTATTTATAATAGGTGGAAAAACTAAGGGAGCTCAAGACATCAGAAGTCTTTTGGATGTGGAATCTTACAGTCCTCTCTCCAAAGAATGGAAATCTGTAAGCCCGTTACCAAGAGGCATATATTACCCAGAAGCAAGTGCATGTCAAAATATAATTTATGTCCTTGGTGCTGAAGTAGAGATTACCGATGCCTTTAATCCATCCCTGGATTGTTTCTTTAAGTATAATGCTACGACTGATCAGTGGTCTGAGCTTGTAGCAGAGTTTGGGCAGTTTTTTCATGCAACTTTAATCAAAGCTGTTCCAGTGAACTGCACATTGTATATATGTGACCTTTCCACCTACAAGGTTTATAGTTTTTGTCCAGAAACTTGTGTTTGGAAAGGGGAAGGATCTTTTGAATGTGCTGGCTTTAATGCAGGAGCAGTTGGAATAGAAGATAAAATTTACATACTAGGTGGTGATTATGCTCCAGATGAAATTACAGATGAAGTGCAAGTCTACCATAGCAACAGGTCTGAGTGGGAAGAAGTTGCACCAATGCCAAGAGCCTTAACTGAGTTTTACTGTCAGGTGATTCAGTTTAATAAATACAGAGACCCATGGTCATCAGTAAGGTAGTGTGTTCTGGAGCATATGGAAAGCTGATTTAAAATAGTCTACTTAAATGCACAAGTTTTTAAAACATGGTATTTTTACTGTTGCTATAGTTTTCTGTGAATAGTTTGTATTATATTATCAATAGAACATGTTGATAACTTACGTTGTAGAATTGTTTGCTTTTTAAAAGGTCCATAAAATTATTTTATCATATTTATGGTAATCATGTATACCAACTTTTACATAGATTTATAAGCAAGTTCTCTTCAGATGTCATTTGAATAATTTGTGGCGCAACATCATTTTTTGAAAAGTACAGTAATAGGGGATTAATTTCTGTAATATCTATGCACTGTTACTTGCATCTTCACGAATGCCCCGTTAGACAAATTGCTGAGCAAGAAAATAGCATTGATGTTTTCCCTTCATAACTAATCATGTAGAGAAGTATGCTGAATTTTTTTATTTAACATTAGTAGAGAAGCGTAGACGTCATTGTCTGTTTACCCTTGCTGCATTGACAATAGCAAGGGCAAATGGCAAAGAGAACTGCACATTCACAAGACATTCTCTCTGGATATTTAGTGTGAAGGGAGTAATGATTCCATAGGTTTTATTTCATTATGGTCGGTTTTACCTACTTCTGTACTTGCTGTGTTCATCCTGAATTATCAGACAACCTCTGAGTGACTCCATCCTGTACGTGATTGATGTTTGATGTGTGGTTCACACAGCAACCTCCTGCACCTGTACAGATGGTCATCTTGGTAACATTGCCAAACACAAGTAGGCCAAAAGAGCAAGATTCTTGAGATTGCTCTCAAACCTAGGTCTGCCATCTGTCAAGTGTATAGCATTAAGGCTATGTTTATACTTCTGGCCATGGGTGGCTGGTATCCTAGGTGGGGGAAAGCATTGCCTTCCCAAACTGCCAGTCTGACCCCAGAACACCTTACGCTCTGCCCCCAGAACACCTACTATAGGCATACTGGAGTGGAGTGTTGCTGTCCCTGGAGCAGCAGTCCTTCCATGTTCTGGGGCTAGGGAGACTGGAGCCATGCGTGGTGCTCTCCCTCCCCATGCTCTGGCCTGGGGAAACTGGGGCTGTGTGCTCCCCTTCTTCCACATGCTCTAGGGCTGGGAAGATTGGGGCCACAGTGCCTTCTTCCCTCCCCGTGCTCTGGGGCTGGGGAGGTTGGGCCATGGCACCCTCCTTTTCCATGCTCCGGGGCGGGGGTGTGCGTGCACTCATGCCCCCTCCCTGGGGAGAGGGGTGGCCGCCTCCCCTTCCAATGCTGGGAGGGAGACACATGCACCCGATCCTTCTCCCCTCTCGGTGGTGGGGGCAGGGCCTCAGGAGAAGGGGCGGGACTGGAGGTGGGGCTGGGGGCTTGCCTCCCCAAGCTGTACCTTTACCAACCACTCGTGCTACTGGCTAAATTAGCATTGCAGCAGTTGATACAGCAGGGTTGATTTAGTGAATTTGGTGAAGACAGACTATTAATGGGAGTAGTGATAGAAATGTAGTGGTGTTAGTCTGGTGTAGCTGAAAGAAAAAACAGGACTATGTAGCACTTTAAAGACTAACAAGATGGTTTATTAGGTGATGAGCTTTTGTGGGCCACACCCACTTCCTCAGATTAAGTAGTGGAAGAAAATTGTCACAACCATATATACCAAAGGATACAATTTAAAAAAAATGAACACATATGAAAAGGACAAATCAAATTTCAGAACAGAAGGGGGATGGGGGGAGGTAAATGTCTGTGAGCTAATGATATTAGAGGTGATAATTGGGGAAGCTATCTTTATAATGTAAAGAGTACCCTTTACAAAGATAGCTTCCTCAATTATCACCTCTAATATCATTAGCTCATAGACATTTATCTTTCTCCCTCTCCCATCCCCCTTCTGTTCTGAAATTTGATTTGTCCTTTTCATATGTGTTCATTTTTTTTAAATTGTATCCTTTGGTATATATGGTTGTGACAATTTTCTTCCACTACTTAATCTGAGGAAGTGGGTGTGGCCCACGAAAGCTCATCACTTTAAAGACTAACAAGATGGTTTATTAAGTGCTGCATAGTCCTGTTTTTATTAATGGGAGAGCACTCTCCAATGACTTATATACTCCACCTCCTCGAAAGGCAGAAGCTATGTTAATGGGAGAACCATCAGCATAGCAGGGAGTAGACACTGCTGTTAATCAAAGTTAGGTTGACTTCAATTACTTTAGTTTTTGTAAATTATGTAACATAATTTGTCTAAACTAACATTGTAAGTTGAGCTCAGCCCTAGGTCACTGGCTGGCCTCCACTGTAGTTTGTATCACAAATTCCAGATATTATTTTTGGAAGTGTGTATGTTTCAGTGCATACAAAATAAAGAATTTAAGAAATACACACAAAAAAACCCACACTTTTAAAATCCAAGTGGACAAGTATTTCTAAAGCCAAGTAATTGATTTTTTAAAATTGTAAATAGTCATGTTGCACTGAACTAAAACATTTCAAGATATGTACTGTTACTTTGTACCTCACCATCCACCTTAGGTGGAGAAATACTATATGGCAACTAATAGACTAAATATACTGCTTAGATTATTTTAACATAGTAAGCATAGTGTTAAACCTGCAATGGATTTTTAGTATTACTATTAATCTACATAGTTCATGGGCAGTTGTAGCCCACCCCCCATCTCCAAAGTGGCTCTTTTACTGAGGAAGAGGTGCTGATTAGGGTATGCACCCCCTTTACTGGGCTCTATGCACAGAGATAAGCACAGGAAGACTGGAAATAAGGGAGGTAAATGTCTGTCCTGTAGAGGGGTAGTGGACTGAAAATAGCTTGCACAGAAGGGTTCTGTAATTTTCCACAGCCTGTGTGGGAAAAGCTCCTTTTCTTCCCAATGCTCAGCCCAGCTGAATTTGCCCTAATGAAAAATGTATACCATAGAGACAATATATATAAAACAGTAAACTCCTGATATGCTATACAGAATTATACTCAGCATTTGGCAACAGCATGTACCCTCCTTAAGTAATGTAAAAATATTAAAATCCCAGGGCAGGAAAGCTATATACATCGTTTCTAATAGGTGAGACTATCTGGATCATTTTAGACAATACCATATCATCACTGGATTGGCATTTTGGAGAAATAAAGTCAGTATTAATGTCTGAAATTGACTCTCTCTTTGTGGCATATTTTTGTTTCAAACAGTATACAATATAAGGCCTCAATTCTATAATTGGCTATGCAGACATCCCATTAAAATCACTGGTGGAACTTAGAGTGCTCATATAACTATATTAATAGTTTAGTGCAGTGCTAACTGCAAAAAATAGCAGATCAAAAGCAAAATATTTTCTTGCACACATCCTATTGAAAATATTTTCCAGATGTGCCTAACATACATTATCTTTCTCAGGCTATAAACCCCAAAATATTGAGATGACAAAAATAAGATTTTAATTCAGTTGGATTCCTGTGATAAGAGAGACAGACAGTGGATATGACCATAATATTGTTAAATTTATCAGATCCCCATGAGTCTATCTGCAGTCCATAAGGCCTCTTTTAACCTAGAAGTCTTAGATCAAGATTGCACCGGTCAGTGTCAGGTATTCTCAGATGTTGCCTGCTCTATTACAGAGGTTAAAGATACAAACAAAAATAGTGCCCACTTAAAATATGGTCTCACTGCCATATGAACTTAACTAACATTTACTAAGATGTCTTGCATAAGAATATAAATGAAATTTTGTAAATTTGAAGAGCCTAATATTTAGATAAATCTGTAGTTTATAATGAGATTTGTCAGATTCTGTCAACAAAAAATACTAGACAGTTTGCTATTAAGAACATAAGAACGGCTATATTGGGTCAAACCAAAGGTCCATCTATCCCAGTATTCTGTCTTCCAACAGTGGCCAATTCCAGATGCCCCATAGGGAGAGAACACAACAGGTATCATTAAGTGATCCCTCTCCTGTCATTCATTTCCAGCCTCTGACAAAGAGAGGCTAGGGAGGCCATTCCTACCCATCCTGGCTAGTAGTCATTGATGGACCTAACCTCCATGAATGTATCTAGTTCTTTTTAAAACCCTGTTAAAGTACGTCTACATAGCGTATACCTCAAAATAAACAATGCAATTTGAGCTATGCAAATTGCGTAGCTTATTACAAAACTTGGCGCTGTATAATTTTGAAAAATAATCACTATTCCGGTGTCATCTTTAATCCATGTGCAGTGAGGCTTAAAAAAAGCCTGAATAAGAAGCCCGTTATTTCAAAGTAACAAGCATGCTGTTAAGATAACAAACATTATCCTTAAATAGCGCCATTGTGTAGACATGCCCTTAAAGTCTTGGTCTTCACAACATCCTATGGCAAGGAGTTTCACAGGTTAACTGTGTGCTGCATGAAGAAACATGTCCTTTTGTTTGTTTTAAATCTGACACCTATTAATTTCAATTGATGACTCCCTAGTTCTTGAATTATGGGAACAAGTAAATAACTTTTCCTTATTCACTTTTTCCACACCAGTCATGATTTTAGACCTCTATCATATCCCCTCTTAGGGTATGTCTGGACTACATCCCTCTGTTGCCAGAGGGATGTAAATTAGACATACCGACATTGCAAATGAAGCAGGGATTTAAATCTCCCGCACTTCATTTGAATAAAAATGGCCACCGTGTTTTGCTGAGTCGGCAGTTTGTTGGCAAAAAACGGCTGTCAAGACGGGGATTGGGCAACAAGAAAGCCTTTGTCGGCCGATCCTGCAAACCTTGTTTTACGAGGCATAAGGTATCAGCCGACAAAGGCCTTCTTTGTCGCCCGATCCCCGTCTTGACAGCCTCTTTTTGCCGACAAACTTTTTGGCAAAACATAGTGGCCATTTTTATTCAAATGACGCGTGGGAGATTTAAATCCCTGCTTCATTTGCAATGTTGGTATGTCTAATTTACATCCCTCTGGCGACAGAGGGATGATGTCTAGACATACCCTTACTCTCCTCATTTCTAAGCTGAAAATATCAGTCTTTTTAATCTCTCTTCACATGAGGGCTTTGGAACGGGTCCCATAATTTTTGTTGCCCTTTTCTGAGCCTTTTCCAATGCCAATATATCTTTTTTGAGATAAGGTGACCACATCTGTACACGGTATTCAGGATGTAGCTGTGCCAGGGATTTATATAGAGACAGTAAGATATTCTCTGTCGTCTTCTCTATTCCTTTTTAAATGATTCCTAACATTCATTCTGTGTGTTTTTCTGACTGCTGCTGCACGTTGAGTGGATGTTTTCAGAGAACAATCCACAATGATTCCAAGATCTCTCTCTTCAGTGGTTATAGCTAAATTGGTCTGTATCATTTTGTACGTATAGTTGGCATTTTTTCCAATGTGCATTATCAACATTAAATTTCATTTGCTATTTTGTTGCCCAATCACTTAGTTTTCTGAGGTCTTTTTGAAGCTTTTCACAGTCTGCTTTGATCTTAATTGTCTTGAACAATTTGGTATCATCTGCAAATTTTGCCACCTCACTATTTACCCCTTTCTCCAGATCATTTATAAATAGGTCCCAGTACAGAGCCTTGAGGGACTCCACTAGTTCTCTCTCTCCAATCTGAAAACTGACCATTTATTCCTACCTTTTGTTTCCTGTCCTTTAACCAGTTATCAATCCATGAGAGGACCTTCCCTCTTTTCTCATGACAGCTAATTAAGAGCCTTCTTTCTGGAAATCTAAGTACTCTATATCTACTGGATCCCCCTTGTCCACAAATTTGTTGACCTCCCTCAAAGAACTCTAGTAAGGCATGTTTTCCTTAGTTTACAGAAACCATTTTGACTTTTCCCCTGAGCAAATTATGTCCATCTATGTGTCTGACAATTTTATTCTTTGCTATAGTTTCAACTAATTTGCCCAGTACTGACATTAAACTTACCGGTCTGTACCTGTAAGGATCACCAGAGCCCTTTTGAAAATATTGGTGTCACATTGGTATCAGATACTTTACTGTCAAGAACATAACATCTATTTCCATATTACTTTTTTCCTAGTTAATCCCCAAACTATGCTTATATTATGTCAGTCCTACCATCAAAACCAGCTATTATTTAGGTTAGAACACAGCTGTTTGTTCTTGGTGAAAAACAAATGTTCAGAACAATTTAAAAAAAGTGAGAAATACTACTGCACCAAAAGTAAACTGCAAGAAAAATATAACTATATAGCATAATAACCCAGTTTCAGATTTGATCAGGAAACTAAAGCTACCACTACTGTTCTTGCAAAATTTAGGGTGGAGTCTTACTAACCATAAATGTTTACAACTTAATAGGTCACTACTCATCAAATATACAAGGCCTTATTCTCCATTGCTTTGTCCTTGTGTAGTACAGGTTGAACTTCCCCTAACCAGGACTCCCTGGTCCAGCAACAGCTGTGGTCCGGCACTGATCATGGATATTCCTGGACCACAGAGCCTAGGAAAAGGGAGGTCTGGCAGTGGGGCAGGAGCATGCTATGGGGCACTGGCAACCCAATGGGGGGGGACAGGTGGCACA